TAATCAGTGTACACGGCATCAACTTGGTGATGTCCATCCATTGATTCGTAAATACTTTGGATGAACGGCATCGAGTTTGTGATTACTGACCTTCCCTGGTAAAAACCATGTTGATTCTCATTTATGCAGTGCTTGATTTTGAAAAATAATTCTTTAGTTATAACTGCTTCGAAAATTTTACCAAATAATGATAATAAAGATATAGGGCGATAATTACTGACCTGATCCTTTTTACCATTTTTAAATACTGGAACAACATGTGCCTTTTTCCAGATTCTTGGAAAAACTCCATGTGAAAGAGATTTGTTATAAATCAGATACAGAGGTATGGTAAGCGAAGAAACACAGGATTTGATGAATATCGGGGGTATTCCATCCGGTCCAGCACTTTTATTATTGTCTAGCTCTAATATATGATTTCGTATTGAGTCTTCTGTGATGGAGTCTATGGAATAACACATGTTTGAGGTTTCGAGTTTTTCTATGTTGGAGGGAGTATCATTTCCTTCAAATACTGACGAAAAATATTTAGAAAAAGCCTCACAGATTGACTTGTCATCAGATACATTTTTACCATCAACTGTCATAAATTTGGGTTGTGATTTATTCCCAGATTTTTCAGCAACGAATGACCAGAATGACTTAATATTGGTTTTAATGTTGTCTTCGGTATTAGACACATATCTTTTATAATCTTTTTTTATTGAGACTTTCACCTCTGACCGAAGTTGACAGAATAATTGATATGAGTTTTCGTCTCTGAAAATCTTCCACTTTCTATGAGCTTTATGCTTTCTTTTTAAAATATCAATTGTATGCTTGGAAAACCAGAGAGGATGCGAGTATTTAACTTGATTGCATTCGATGTGGTTGGAGATAGCTGAATCTATAATATTATAAAAGAAAATTACTGAGTCATCTACTGATAAGTTTTTGAGACAGTTCTGCCAATCCACGTTATTGATATAGTCATTTATTGCTGCATAGAATAGGCAACTTTTGAGACAAATCCCGAAACACGTCGATTTTTATTTCCAAATTATGATTTTGTGGCAGATATGTCATACTAGTGACGTCATCCATCTTTGCGTGATGACGTAATCGATGATTTTTTTAAATGAGAATAGGGGTCGTGTGATAGCTCATTTGAAAGGTTATTCAATTCTCTATGCAGTGATATGAACATTAACATAATTATTTATACAGGGTGGCCAAAAAAATATTTAATTTGTAAATGAAATTAATTGTCACAAAAAGAAGTATTATCATTTATTTAATACAAAATTACATTGTACTACTGTCGGAAAACAGAAAAACAAATTAGTTGACAAATAAAAATTGCTTTTCGCTTAAATTAAATGTTCAAATTGCCACCCACCTGCCTCTTGGCAGTAATTGAACGGACGAATACATTCTTCTTGAACATTGTGGATCATTTCTGGAGTTGAATTACGAATTTCCAATGTATGCTATTTGTCAAATCTTGGAAATGTGTGGTCTATCGGCGATCTGGATCATCCTCATTGATTTTGTCTACTATTGAAACACTTGAAACAGTTTATAAATAAATGTTTAGAACTGGTGTGCTTTCTACTACTATGAAGAAACAAAAATAAATTCCGATATTAGGCAAATAAATAATGAGAACTAAAAAGATAGCAAAAAGTATAGTTTTTACAAATCGAGTTGGCTTGGGTCAAATGTAAGTCAGTTCTTGACATTTTCTCATAAGGACTAGTTTATTTCATGAAATAAATAAATAATGGCCCCATTAACTGAAACACAAAGAATCGAAGTATTAATTATGGTTGGATATGGAGATAGAACCAGAACACAACAAGAAGTATGTAATTTATTTACCATAAAATATCCTAATACGCCTATCACACAATCCACTGTTAGTAAAATTGAGAAGAAATTTAGAGAAACTGGACACGTGAAACATGTTGCAAATGCTGGTCGTCCACCAATGAATGAGGATGTGAAACTGTCTGTATTATTAAGTGTGGCAGAGAATCCTCAAATTAATTCTAGGCAAATTGCAGCTGATACAAACATTTCTAAAAGGTCTGTTTTACGTGTGCTGAAAAAAGAGAAATATCATCCGTATAAAATTCATAATGTCCACGAAATCAATGAGGATGATCCAGATCGCCGAATGCAGTTTTGTGAAGTAATGCAAGATTTATGTAATCAAAATCCACGCTTCATTCGTGAAATCCTTTTTTCTGATGAAGCAACCTTCTGTTTAAATGGAACAGTGAATCGGCAAAACTGCAGATATTGGAGTCAAGATAATCCCCATTGGATGACTGCGGTACACACTCAGCACCCTCAAACACTAAACGTGTGGGCAGGGATAGTCGAGGATAGAATTATAGGTCCTTCCCAGTTAACACAAACATCTATGAGATGTCGCATTCATGGCAGTTGATGTCACAAAAGCGAATCACAATATTGCATCGCTGATATCTACAAGGAATTCCTTGTGTGACAGATAGTTCGCAAATTTCATCACATTCTGTTGGATCTGAGACCAATATGGATATAATATTTATGAGGCCCCTTAACTTCACAACGACTATAATTTCAGAATCTGAAATTTCAGTCGTTGAGAGTCATAATTTGATGTATCTGAATTGACAAACTGATTCACATTGTGCAGAATGAAGAAACGAAAATATGCTTCAATATGTGAATCTCTCTCACATCTCAAGGAAATTCATTTATGAAAGTAATATCGAACAATACTTGGAAATATCAGGGTACTCGCATACTCATGAATGTAGCGCACAATGTGACTTATGTAAAGTTTCGTACACACTCGGCCAGTGTCGGTCTGACTGATGTACACGTGTCTGTAAATTCTTTAGCGACGGCATGCTTTTGTCTCGTCCATTTCGTTGTTTCAGTGCATTAGTTCATGCAGTTCGTGTTTGGCGTTATTGCTTAGACTGAATAAGCATCTCTTTCTAATCGAAAATCATGATTGTGATTAAAGATACTGTGTGTTTCTCATCTAAGTTACAGGGTAAGTAACTACAACGTTCATAACTTGATACAATAATATACCTATATACTGGTTGACAATGAAGACATCAGGGTAGACGACACCACGTCGCCATTTCAAGACTATATGATGATACTTACAATGATACCTTGGAATATATCATTTTGGGATCAGGGTATAAGTGAACATGCATATTCTGATTGTATATTGAGAAAGTCTGATTAAGAACAAAATTATTGCAAAATATTATGAATGGAAGGAAAAAATGCGCCGCAGCTATTCTCTATCTTCTTTGTCACCCGGTATAGAACAGTAGGTATGCAGTGTGATTTCATCTTTTCATAAATAATTTCAATCTCACACGACTCCACGTAGATATGAAAGTGACTTGAACATTTTTCAATACTCTCATTATGGTTCTCTACTCACTCTCTATAAGATATTCTGAACAGGAAATGGGCAAAATTAAATCAATTGATTGTTTCTATATTCATTTTCAGATGTCAAATCACAAAGTCATCTGGACAACCTTGGAACAATTTGAAATTCTGAGCAGGGATTGGTTACCATGCTACAACGGAAGGAGAGATGAGGAGCAAATATTGGATTCTCTTGTGTTACTTTCAGTTCTCCATATTCATCGCGTTAACTCATGGAGATATATTATAACCCTGTATAATTATTCGAAAAAGTCTAGGCCTGCGCTGTTTTCCTAATTTCAATCATTGTTATATCTAGGTAGTTTTGCTCAACATAACATGTACGTACTTACCTATTCTGATGTGTAATGAGACTAATTTTCAATAAAATCGAGTTGCCTTGTGAAACCCTTGATTGATCTATTTGACAGAGATTCGAGACCGATTAGTTCTCTCATTGAATACCTTCATCAATCTAGATGTCATTTCACTTGAGACATCAAAAATCAATGTGTATGTAGCATTTCTGAGACGCACAATATGATTCTTCCAGGGACGCTACGATACCAGTATAATAATCGAAAAGAACCTCACATTCAGAAATGGTCGATGGTCTTCTAAACCTCACATTCTGATTATAATGTGACCTCAATGTGAGTCTTATTTCAACGTGATATCTGGAGTCACATTCAGCTAACTTTAGAGTCCCATTCGGCATCTAAATGTGAAGCGAAAAATGACCAAAAGGGTCCGGAATAGAGGATCTGGAGATGTCGACGTGATTCACAAATCGAATCGCGGGTGTGATCTCAATCATGAATGTGAAGTGTACTGACGTCTCTGAGATCAATTTGTGTTAACTGGGTTTTTTCTTCGATGGGTCTCTTACGGGGCAAATATATCTTGATTTTTTACAAAATGAACTTATACCCGCCCTTACAGACATGTTTCCAAATGAAAATGATCGTAATTCGCCAAATGAAAACATATGGTTTCAGCAAGACGGTGCACCTCCGCACTTTGCACGTCCTGTTCGTGATTTTTTAAACAGATGTTTCCCTGTCCAGTACGTGGGGGTTTTTTGAATGCAAAAGGTGGGGTAGTAGCGATTTTTTAGTATGTTGTTAGGCTTGGGGCCCTAATGAGAAATCCAAGTTTTCGACCTCGAGGCGCATGCGCTCGAGCCGCCATATTGGATTTTAGGTACACAAATTTGGTTTTTTGATAATAACTCAAAAACGGTGGCTTTCACGACAAAATATGTTCTGAACAAAGTTGAAGAGGACAAAATTTTCTGAATTTTTCCTAGTAAAATTTTTTTTATAGCACACATATGTAAGGAGTTACAGCTCAGTGAAGTTTCATTATTTGAAAAAAAAATGCGGGAACTTCATTTTGGTTGAGTTTTATTTTATTTTTCTCATCATATAATTATAAAAAAACTGAAAGGCACTCGAATATCATCATTTAACAGTATTATACTTTTCGTGAACAAAGTTGAAGGCGAAAAGTAAATCGATTTTTTTTTAAATTCAAGAATAGTAAATTAGGTTTTTAGAGCGTTACAAAAATTAATTTTTACTACATTTTGTACGTTTCGATGGTCCGGGTTGGTTATTGTCTGTGTCCTGGTCGTAGTAGTCGGTGTCCTGGTCGTAGTTATCTGTGTCCTGGTCGTAGTTTTGGTTCGTAGCCTGAAAAATGTCGTCATCCTCGTCCTCGCTTTCAATGCGGATTTCCGGCATATTTCCGCAAGATTCTCCGTTGCAGAAACCACATACAACCAAACATTTGAGTCCAGCCTTTCGACAGCTGCATGCCCCACCACACCCCTTTTTGCAGTTGCAAGATACCGATTTTAATAATAAATCGGGATCTGTTTTTTTCGCCATTGTTATGGGAGTGAGCCCGTAAGCGCCATGCTTCCAACCCCAGTTTTCAGGATTTTTCTCAATGCCTCTCCATTTCTGTACTTGGTGGTACGTCCTGAAGGCGTGGAATTTCGCCGCGTCTTTAGTAGGTGGCAAAGAGGCAAGTTACATTTGGTTTTTAGCGTAGATTTGGCGAAGCGTTGGAAACGAATCTTTTTCAAACTCTCTTTATCCATGTTGCCACCATATAATGCTACAAGGCAGCGTACTCCGGTCTCGGCAATCTCCTCTGGCGTGGCATCTTGTTTGTTGAAAATTTCAATTATTTCATGAACCGCTCTGTTTTTTTCTATCAGCGTACACAATTTAGTTTTTCCCTGATTGAATAGGAATGACGTATTGTCACAACCACTGAAGGCATGCAAGAACAGAATGTGCTTGGTTGCTTCTTCGTATTTGAAGCTACTTGCTGAATATATCCTCTCAGCAGTTTTTGCTCTTCCAGGTTTACGGAAGTAGATAGAACTTTCGGCTGATGCTAAGGCTGTCAGAAGTACTAAAAGGTCAACGTCTTCTCGTCTTCCCCGACCACAAAAACAGCATCAAATATTGATAATGATAATGAAATTGCAGTATTGACAATTAGCACATCGGCATCGCATCGAGCTGTGATGCGTGGGGCCCCGGGTTCGAATCCCTATTGTTTTCTTGTTTTTTTTTTATTTTCAAATTATTTTTAGTCCGATTGGGTGCAGGGCGTGCTATTTATTCTGTTTTATATTGATCAAGGCTTTCAATGTGCGCGTAGCGAAGCGAAGCGCACTTCAGGAAAATCGTTCCCTCAATTCTTTGATCCACTGCGCATGCCTGGAAAAGCGGCGTGTTCATTTTTGTGGTATCTGTCATTTACCCTCTTTCAATACTCACTAGACAGCAGCTGTGCTCTCGATATCTGCCTAGATGTTAAGATTTTGGGCAAATTTCAATATGATTTGCATTTGTTTAAATTATTTATTCAAGTTATTAACAGCCAAATAACAAAATGAAATACTTTTTTTTTCAAATAGTGCAACTTCACGAAGCTGTAACTCATAACATATGTGTGTTACAAAAAAAAAATTCCATAGAAAATGTTGGAAATTCAGTCTTCTTTAATATTGTTGGGAACATATTTTGTCGTGAGAGCCACCGTTTTAGAGTTATTATTAAAAAAACAAATTTTTGTGCCTAAAATCCAAGATGGCGGCTCGAGCGCATGCGCCTCGAGGTCGAAAACTTGGATTTTTCATAAGGGCAACAAGCTTAACAACATACCAAAAAATCGCTACTACCCCACCTTTTGCATTCAAACACCCCTTTTTGATACCCACGTACTGGATTATAGGAGATGGATTGGTCGACGAGGAACAATAGAGTGGCCCGCAAGATCTCCAGATCTTACACCCCTTGATTTTTTCCTATGGGGTTACTTAAAATCAAAAGTTTACATCGATAGACCACAGAATTTACAAGATTTAAGAAATAGAATTAGATTGGAAATTCGTAATATACCTCCAGAAATGATCCACAATGTTCAAGAAGAATGTATTCGTCGGTTCCATTACTGCCAAGAGGCCGGTGGGTGGCAATTTGAACATTTAATTAAAGCGAAAAGCAATTTTTATTTGTCAAATAATTTTTTTTTCTGTTATCCGACAGTAGTACAATGTAATTTTGTATTTAATAAATTATAATACTTCTTTTTGTGAAAATTAATTTCGACGTGTTTCGGGATTTGTCTCAAAAGTTGCCTATTCTCGTAAAAATGAATTTATTCCATAATATTGCCCCTCACTGTATACTTCATCAAATAAATGCACTTATTTGGTTTTTCTCCTTCGATTCTCATTATCAAATTCTTGATAGCTTCGATGAAAACTTCGAAGGAACTACTATTATATTATAAATATCAATGAGTTGATATTCATAATATCAATGAATTGAAATTCATAAGATCAATGTGATCAATATGTTGATGAATTATAATTCATCAACTCTCTTGTGTCTTTTTATGGAATCTTCGATACCAATGAGGTAGGTGCATACGTACAGGGTGTTTCTATGTGAAACCCTACACTCGATGATGGATTAACATATTATTTCTGTGACGGGAAAACAATTTAAGATGTCATCTCTGTTGCTAGGTTATAAAATGTCACTTTTCATAAATTACTTTTTTCCTACTGTCGATGGCTTCTGTTGTGCCATAGTTTCGGGAAATAAGCTAATAACAGTACCGCCTCCGACAAAGATATCAATAAACAACTACTAAATTCACAATTTTTGAAAATAAAATCACATAATCAAACTGAAGATGCCAGCATATAGATGCCTGCAACCCAGGTATCACATGTTAATAACATCAAAAGTCACGTCGATAATTTTCTGATCATAATATAATGTAATATCTTCTCAATATTGATTCGTCGTTTTTCCTGTCACAGAAAAAAAAATTGTATTATACACGGAAAAGATATTAGATTTTAGCTCTCGCTACAACACAACCTGGAGCTGAAATCTACTACTTTTTTCCCTTGTATAATGAATAACTATTTTTATTCCATTTTTAGGACGAGTCTTGGCTATATATAGGGTTGGCTATATGTGCGGAGGTCGACATCAAATACTAAATTCAAAATAGTTTGATACCAAATGTTGGGGCAGGAAAAAAAGTTCCTTTCTGAGGTATTAACAAAAATTGTTGGCACAATAGTCTTACTATATAGTTACTAGTATAGTTCGATATAATATTTCCTCTTTCATTTTGTTTTAAGTTTTGTGTGTATTCGAAAATCAGAGTCCTTCCGAAATAAAACTATGGCTAAAGATAATGACAGAATATATTTTTTTTTGTAACAGTTATAATGTGAATTCGGTATATATGATAATATGTGATATTTTCTCACAATAAAGAATGTTCATTTTTCCTATTAAAACCCATTCCACATCCAATTTTCAATGAATATTGAGTACGAAATATTGTTAGAAATTAACTGAGATGTGGTACGAACAACAATAAGTTATTGCAATCTCAGTTATCAAGACAAGTCTATCAACAAAATCAAACTAAAAATGCAATGAGTGGATGTAGAATTAACAAGATGATATAAATAATACACCATACACATAATGCCTAACAACCCAGAGTTATTTGATGATAATATGATATCAGCTATATTAACTCTATAAAGAGAATGTTGTTGAGAACAAAAAAGGGTATAATAAAGTTATCAATCCATAAGTGATCATTACAACAATGTTAATGATGATTAGGTTGACTACAAATGCTTCTGGTAATTCAACTAAGAAATTTTTGTAGACCTACTGGGAATACAAAATTCTTGTTGAATTATCAACAAACCAACAGTGTACCGTAGGTCACGCTGATACACTTCAGTATTGTGATGACTCGTAGTTCGACTTACATTTATATGTAACAAGTCTTCATTATACTGGAAACCTAAGGCAATAATCAATTAGCCATGCATAACAAAATGATTTGATAACCTGTTTTTCCTCAGTGTAGGTAAGAATGTGAAGTTTATGCGTTATTCAAATTTGTAAAATATCACGGCTCCTTCCAAAGGTATCGTCAAAATCGCCATCAAATCAAATTGCCTGAGTTTGTTAATTTGCTTCTTTAATTAACATTTCATTCAGAATATGGGAAATAACTAAGATCATAATCGGAACATTCCTAATTCTTACTCATACCTATAGGTAACAACACATTCCAGAAATTTCCGTTTTTTGACTTGGCCCCATCGCTCTTTCATGCAATGATGCCACAGCGAACCTTCCAGCTTGAATGAAAGAGAATACAAGTAGAACATTGATGCTGTTTTTTTCAGGAAAATGGACGTATCACTTGTACACCACAACGATGCTCAAAACTATGAAAATAGGGCTCGGTTATTTGTATCCACGTCTGTTACATATATCTTTCCAGCATAAATATATAAAGATCATGGGCCTACAGGATCATGGTACACACTCTTTTTTCTGAGTGATTGATATCTGGAATGATCTATCGAGCAGACATAACGTCACGTTTCGGCATGAACACTTAATTAGTTTCCACTTCCTGTTTCACGAGGAAGTTATCATCTAACTTGAATCATCTTTTATTTGGTATACTTCTCTCACATATGTATGGGTATTAGGTAAAACAGAATTTTTTATTATTGCTGATATAGCGGAAGTTTTTTCCAACATGTTTTTATCACTATCAAGATTCCGAGAAATCCTTAATTGGTAGAATTCTCCCATGATCGGCGAATACAGTGTATTGGTTTGGAGGTAGGTAATCTCAAATAAAAAGGCTTACCCATCCAAAATAAATGATTTCCTATTCAGATAGGAATCTTGGCGTCATATAGCTATCGGCATAAACAGAAAAAATATTTAATTACTGCGAATGGCGTATGAGATTTTGCATGCCATGGAAAATTGATCATTGTTAATTTCTACAATGACTGACAAAGTTGAAGTAATTTCCACGATTGTAAGAAGTTATTCACTATCTGTTCATATTCATCATATTCGTAGTTTTCGTTAATTTCAGAAGGCTACAAATTGAAACTGAATAGGTACTTACCTATAGTCTCCATTCGAGACTATAGGATAATGTTCCAAGTTTCGTGAAGGATTGTAGACGAAGCTGAATTAAGAAGAGAGTTAGACGACATGCAAACTCACATTATTTCGGTGAAAAGACATTCTCAGAGGGAAATTCATCTGAAATTTCTTGATAATGTAATGATATTTCCCTTAAAGGGGCTTTAGAAACATCATCAGTAAGACAGGAGTACAACGATCATCCTGTATCACGCATCCCAGATTGTTCTTCAACCTCCCAATGATTCCTACATACACCAGCATATTTCCGAACACTCAATATATGCCGCAGTGACAAATAAAGTCACAGAAGATTCTGGAATGTTCTGGAAACAATCGATGGAACAATTAGAGAGAGAGAGGATTTGTTCTAAGAAGTTTCTATACTTTTCAACTTCAATTTCGGAATCGGTGAGTTATATTTCGGAAAAAGTAATCTCGATTTCAGAATTGGTTAGTTTGATTTCAGAAATGGTAAACGTAATTTCAGAATCGGTGAGATGAATTTCAGAAAAAGTCCATTCAATTTCAGAAATGATGAGTTTCATTTCAGAATTGGTAGGTTCAATTTCAGAAGATGAATCCTTATATGAATATATGTTTGAAATGTTCTCAATTGCAAAAGAGAGGATTGTTTAATGGACATCCTGCAGATACCATGGTGGTAGTTCAAGTAGTTCTGGATATTGCACCTGCACATTCAAAAATAGAAGAGATATGCATGGAGGAATGTTATATTTTGCAGATTGGCACCTTACAGTTGAATTCGATTGAACATATATGGAGTGCCTTCAAGTCAGAAGTGAAGAGCTTTTTCAAGAGCATCGCCAAAGGGTCATAGCTGGATCCGAACAGATTGCTCAACCATATAGAATTCAGACTGCGGTGTCTTGAAGAATGTGCAGATCATTCAATGAAAATGATAACACCTCAAATGTGTTTGCATTCTTATAATCATGTGCAACGCTACTATCCTTCTGCGATTCGGATGGAAGACATCATTCTGTGGATTAAATTGAGATAATAATTATGTTATTGAATTCTTTTTGAACAGTTGAATATTGTAATATGGTTTGTTAATCACACATGCAATTGGAAATATTTCAAACAAACAAAAGGATTTATTTTCTGAAATTCAACCTTCAAATTCTGAAATACAACTTACCATTTCTGAAATTGAATGGACTTTATCTGAAATTCAACTCACCGATTCTGAAATTGAGTTTACCATTTCTGAAATCGAAGTAACCAATTCCGAAATCGAGATTACTTTTTCCGAAATATAAGGTACCGATTCTGAAATTGAAGTTGAAAAGGTATAGAACAAAAAGAATGAGACGGAAGATCATTCGAGAACGTTCTCGAACCAGAGCCTGCCAAGTGATCTCATATATAATCGGCCGAACAACGACTGTTGTCAGTCAGTCGAGCAGCGAGTGTCAAAGAGACAGTTATATACCGCGTGATATAAATCGTTTTACATAAATAGTAGTTATAAGTTCGATATAAAATAAATAGTGTCGTGTTCGCTTCTGCACCCGAATAACGTAACAATAATAAAGCTTCGACTACATGCACTTCAATTTATGATACTTGCCGCTGAATCCTCTTATTGTGTATCGAAAACTGAAACGTCTGGAACAATATCACCTCACACTGTTCCACTATTCACAAAACCGATTCTTCTGAATATTGATCTTCTACTGAACCGAAAGTGATGTCGAAGCGTTCAGGAATCGTATTGGTTAGTGGTAAAACAGTACAGTGTGTCCAGTTTTCGATGCTTTTGCCTAATATCATAGTTATCTTTGGAGATAGAACCTTGCGGTTTCCGCGGTCCTGTGCCACTTTTATGTGAATCTCAAGATGGCCCAATCAGATTTTGCAAGACTGTTTCCGTTTATGAGATACAGGGCGATTTTGAAAATTTATACTTTTTGGACCCCCTCTATATCCACGAAGTTTCTCAACAAAAATGTCAAATCGAAATCTTATCGCATAAAGAATTCCACGCATAATCCAGTGGCGCACTTAATTTTTTTTGGGGTATGGTTTTGGAGATGCGACTCAATCAAAATCATTAGTTTGAGTCGTTTCTTCAAAACCATACCCCGAAAAAAAAATTGTGTGCGCCACTGGATTCTGAATAAAATTCTCTATGGGTTAAGATTTCGATTTGACATTTTCGCTGATGAACTTCGTAGATATAGAGGGGGTTCAAAAAATATAAATTTTCAAAATCGCCCTGTATCTCATAAACGGAAACAGTCCTGCAAAATCTGATTGGGCCATCTTGAGTTTCACAAAAAAGTGACACAGGGCCGCGAAAACCGCAAGGTTCTATCTTCAAAGATAACTGAGATATCATGCAAAAGCATCGAAAACTGGACACACTGTACATTCCTTAATTTTCTACACATAGTCTTCAATGCAGGAAGTATCTATTAGGCATTCATTTCCACCATTGTTATCCTATAATACACGCTCATTACTCGAAGGTACCAAAACTGCAGAGGTATTTTTTCGTTCTGAGCGAACTAAAACGGATGAGCAGATCGTAACCTATTCTCCGAAATAAAAATGAATTACAAAATAATTGATATGAAAGATGATCCCATTTGATTTCACTATGTTTGCCTAACTTCGAATCAAGCAGCTGTTAATGGACAAGAGTTCTCTGGGTTTTCGATTTCACTCGAAGTAGTAGCAATATTATAGGCTGACCAGATGCCACAATGATATAGTTTTAGTTCTGAAGATATACCAAGACACATTTTAAATAGTATTGATGTTGATATCGATCTTACATTCTTGAATTTTCGGGATTTCATTAACACTCATTATGAGTATAGGTGCGATATTTCGGTGATTGCAGGTATATGAGTCAAGCTTCATCATTCTATTCTATCAATCTATCTCGATTGTACTAAAAACGACTAAAGAAGAAAAATTGACCGAGGCCATTCAGTCCATATTTTTCATGCTATATAGGTGAATTGTTCTAAAATTGTTATATCCATCATTCGGTTGCCCCCTTACGAGCAACCAATTTTTCACTCATTTTGATTATCATTGAATGAACAGAGAAGATATGATGTAATTTACCGAAGTAACAGAGTGCCATTGTCACCCTCTATAAGCAATCACAAAAAAGTTGCAAATTCGTTTTCCTCATGCCAGAAATCTGGAACTACAAAATGTCATGGTAATGCTGTTGAGGCATGTTATAGACTAAATCTCAGTATCATAGTGTTTACTATCTGCATTTCAGAGATTTTCCATCCTTAATGATTCACTCTTTATATTTTGGTGATCAAATGAAAACAAATATTTTTTCAAATCATTTATTCAAGCAATTAACATGTAATATTTCATGAAAATGTTGGTACTGCTGCACCAATTGGAACTCTCCCAAGATCCTCCAATTTTTGAGACCTCTTCAAAATACTGATAAGAAAGAACCACCTACACCTGAAGTTATTCAAAATAAACGAAACTCAAATACCCACTCCAGCAAGTTCGAGTGCCTTTAATCTTGTTGTTAATTCTTTTTTATTATCTATAGATCTACACAGAAAAAAATAATTTGATAGCATTAACAGAACGGGTTCTGTATCGAATTTAACGAAGAATTATTTCAGCGTTACAGAATTTTTTTACCATAAACAGAACCATTGTCACGAAAGATACAGAATGTTGCAGATTTTCTGTTAATTTTACAATAAATTTCTGTAAGTAGTTGTCTCCGATCATATATAATTTCTTTACTATTCACTTATCATTCTATAATATTGATAGAATAGCTAGGTATAAGATTACAGAAAATACTGTTGGTATCAAAGTTCGATCTGTACTATTTATTTTGACCTTTTTAATGATAATTTTATACCAAGAATAGAATCTTCTCTAACACTCATGGAATATTTCGTTAGAATTGACAGAAAATCTTTCTTTGAATATTAAAGTAAATATCTCATGTGGATACGAATAGTTCTGTAATATTAAAAGATCATGAGTGGAGTCATTCTTTCGAAAGAATGTTCTTTAAATAAAACAAATAGTTCTGTTTCAGTTCAAGAAACGCAAGAAACATTATGTCTTTTATTCACCAATCAGATTCGTGATTACGCTCACCTGATCTCACCGAACATGATGTATTGGTCTATTTTCAAATTTGGTGACCATCACTTATACCGCCTAGGGCGTTATTCATTTTTTATTTAGTATTGACAGTGAATGCATCGGTGTTGAGTGTTGTTTTCAATTTTCTTTCCGATTGATATAGGTATCAAGGTAAGTGTACTTAACCCTATATCAGCTTAGCGAGATTTGGATAATGGGTACCTACCGATAGCTGATTGTGTGATATACATTTATCAATATACAGGGTGTTACATTAATATGAGTATAGGTATGGTTACATCAATATATTGTGACAACAATGAAGGCGAGAAAATAGAAAGAAGTTCCTATGAACTTTTACTCGTAGTTTTCAAGATAAGAAGTTGATCTATCATCTTGAAAAATTCGTTGAAATTAAAGTGGGTGATCTGGTTCTAAGGTCAGAATTTTAACGAATTACTCGAAGTGTGTGGGCAAAACGGAATATCTATTACAACAATTACTCATTAGAAATGATTATATATTATGTAGGAAAAATTATTCAGTTTACTATAAACAATGAAGTCTCTGAAACTTTCGTGGACGAAGAGGCAGTTTTCCAGCATATTGAAGCAAAAGGTTGTTTACTTCCGCTTGCATTTCACTTTCTTAAAATTTTTGAGAAGGGTGGATCAAGACACGCCATGGATGGTTGAAATACATCAGACAGAACAAGGAAGATCATACTGCTATGGTATTCTCAAGACTTGGAAGCATTATACCAACCCACTTGGATATAGACTGGTATGTTATTTGTTCTCACTTTTATCTTGTTTCAGAGGTTTCAGCTTCTTCACCAATGCGTTTATTTTTTCTGTTAATTATTCTTGTATTATTTCAGGTTGACATTGATTATCAAGAACCGATAAAAGAAAACTCGATTATATTGATGGATTCATGGGAAGATTTTTTCTAGAAATCAGATGAAATATTCTCAGAAAAATTCAGAAAATAACCTTCAAAATTAATGATATCCAATCAGAAAGTAAGTATTTATCAGGTTAACCCGTTCATCTTCCTTCCTTGAATAACAAATATGACTTAATCAGACAGACTCACTTCCAGAAAGAACAATTGCGGTGACATTCTGATGGTTCTTACAGCCTACCTCAAGCCGACAGGAAAAAAAGTTATCAAAGATCCGTCAGGAAAGAAGAATGTCTTGAAGTTCATCATAAGGGACTCCCAAAGTTCATTTTTCCTAGTTGATGGGCCTACTTTGGCAATATCTGTTCTGGTAATGAACAATTCTATACCATTAATAGAACCATTCTGTAAACACAAATAATCAATAGAAACGCATTATTCAACCTGTACAGAAATATCTTTCGCGATTATGAATATTTCTTTACCATTGAACGAACTATTTCGTTCCGGTTATGATACATTTCCTATTAATGGTACAGAATTCAACAGAATCATTCTTTAACATATAAATAACTATCGTTTGACACAAGGAACACATTCTGTTATACCAATAGAAATTTCTTTGACTATCGAACAATTCTTTAATGTTTCAGAATTCTAGCGAATTCTTCTTTCCAGTGTACAGAACTATTTGTTGAGACAACGAATACATTTTTTCACATTGAAAGAAACTTTCTGTACAAGTACCGAAATGTCTTTTGATGTTGATGAATCTAATTTGGGGATTTTGAAAGAAATGGATTATGATATTCACAGAAACTTTCATTGGCGCTATAGCAAAAGAAGTTTCTGTAGTATTCAAAGATTTTTTTTTTATATTTACCTTGTCATTTATTTCTGTCTAGGATTTACCTACCATAAGCAAGAAAATCTTTTTTCATTCTGCTCATCTGTTGTAGTAATTGTAGTATATTCCATTTATTTTTTACATTGAGGTGACCAAACGACTCAAGTGTTTTGGGCCTACTGATTCCCTCTTTTTTCCCAGTTCCTTTCCCCATTTTTGTGCTTGATCTGTGGAGCTCACTAGTTCCAACATTGAGTTGAATATGGACATATCCTTTGAAGTTATTCTCTTGAGTCATCAATATATTCATCTGCTGACATAAATCACTGTGGCGATTGTATGTTTGCAATATCCTCCTAATCCTGCTTCACAATAAAATTGACAAATCCAAGTCTCACCCAGTTAAATAGTGATTCCATAAGGAGATTCTAAAATTGTAGAAGATCTTATGCACAAACTTTCGATAACCTTCTCTTTATTGGGACCATCACTTCTCCATATAAGATGATGTTACCAGCTTCAAAAACCTCTTCGCCTTCCTTAATTGGCCGATTCAATCCACCCTCATTAATTCATCAGTGATTCAGAGACACAATAACACTGCATCTTCAAATACAAATCTTTGATCCAATTGTGAAAAAAGATAAAATCAACAGAAATCTCTGAGAAAACTCGAATACTAGCTCATGAAAACCAGCGTACATACATTAGACTGAAAACTATGTTTTCACAAGAGATCAAATGACGGAATATTTGTTGTTCACACCTCAATCCGACATCCTGTCATTTGCAGTGCTTCGGAAAAATTGAAGAGAGACCAGAAATAATAACATGAATATTGATTAATAACGGAAAGATGACATCATAAGTATACGATTCTAGAAACCGCTTTTTCTCGATATCCCATATTTTCCTTGTATAGACACCCTGAAGTGAGTTTCCTATGTTATGTTTTAAAAGTTACCTACAAATATTTTTCCTATCAAGTCATCGGTTCGAAGGTGGCTATCATGATAAATTCGCGGCAAAATCTTCCGTTAAAAAACACAAAGGATGGATAAACAACGTCTGGAGAAGATTGAAAGGACCCGCATAAGAATGGGGCACGTGGATATAGGACACACACAGGAGCTTGTAGGTATATCGGATAAAGTCCCCCAATGCGTTAGCCAAGTCAGGCAATTCAGAAGGGTAACGCACTCTGCTTCAACAGCTGTTCGTGTGAAAATACGTATTGAAAATGTTGTAATACGAATGAATGAAACTTGAAACAAATACCAATTTGTTGTAACTTCAAATCAAGGATGCACAGAGTTTTAAGGAGCAGGAGTCACTCGGAAAAATTATAAGCCAAGAACATATTATCACAAAATATTCATATTTTAGAATAGTATGAATCATACTACGAATGATGAAAATGAAAGAGAGTTCAAAAATGTTGTTGTAATCATGTAATCGTAATGTATAATCAAATCAATGCAATGTTATATTCCTTGTTCTATTATTTTGATGCATGACATGGCATTATTGATTTCGTATTTTCAACATATTCGTTGGAGGGCCACATAAATATCGACAGTATATAGGTCGTATGCAGCCCTCATGCCGCGGTTTGTGCATCTCTGGTATATAGATAGTATGTTCAAGTCGATGTAGTCACTTTTTCTCAAGAATCTATACATTGTTTCAAATATTCGTATTGAATGTGGCAGGGTTATTCACATAACCTGATGTTTTCTGTAATTCGAATTCAATTGCATTTATTTTTCAATAATATTTCAGAAATTCGAAGGGAGCACCAGATTGTTTTATGATTTAGACACATATCGACGGTATATTATATTAGAATTTTCGAAATCGTCAGTCCATTCGTATTTTATTCATAGTATTCAAACTGTAATATTCACCTCAGTCTCATTTTCATTCTGGCAGACATAGCAGGTCTTACAGGAGGTACACCTCCTTATTCCCTTTGGTTTTAGAGAAAAGTGATTGAGATTTGGAATTATCCATCATTATTAACACCATGAATATGGTTTTTATAATAACTTCCGATTTACAACTGAAATATCCTGTATATCATTATATTTCTGAATTCTCTATCATTTTCTGAATCCAATGATTCCACATGTCATGACATGTCAAACTGCACCAAATATAGAGTTCATCAAAATGGTTCAACAATGATAAATCAAGAAATTTCACATATTAGAGAAGTTTCAAGTTTTTTCTAGCATTCGATAGGAGTGAATCAGAATGGTCACTGCACACTTCCATATTCACAGTCCTATTCAATAAAAAAGCGTACAAGTATTGAAAAGTGAAAATTTCGGGATCCTAGTACTAGTTTTGTAAAACTGGCTCAGCCAATGCTTTATGTTTTTGAGAACCTATGACAACTTTACTGTCAGCATTTGGTAAGCAATCATTCCCGATAGCCCGTTTAATGCAGAATAGGATGACGTTAATTTCTCTCCGCGACTGTACGATCACAATGTGGTATCTCTCCTGTCAGAAAGGAAAAGAAGAATCTGGAAATGCAATTATATACAGAGTCTTCCATTCGAAAATCGAAAGTTATCACCAATTCCGCTGAAACCGGAAGTGGAAAATGATACATATTCATGTCGGAACGTGACTTTTATGAAGTTCATAGGTCATTCCAAATAGAAATCATTTATATCTACAACAAGGAAAATAAGGGGGTGTACCATGATCCTGTTATACCCGTTATGTATCTGGTAAAAATATTGTAATATTTTATTCAATTCTATAATTGCTGTTGAAAAGGAATATTCTCAGAAAAATTATGAACATACAAAAATTGATATATATTTATATGAAGCAATACATTGACAATTGGCATTCTCTATGTGATGAGAGAATATTTACTCTTTTTCAGTTGATTCAATAGAAAACAACTACTTTCTTGGCTATATGCCACGACGAACATTGAATTATATCTATTGAACACACACGATAAGAGTTTGAAAATACAATATAAAAACTTCTGAAATTGAGAATTTGCATTCTCCTTCAGACAAAATATGTACATGCACACATCATTCTGAATATTCAACAGATAACAACTACTTTCCTGGCTATTTGCCACGTCGAACATTGAATTATATCTGATGAACATTGAAAAGGAGAACATGAAAAATAAAGAATGACATCCTCCGAAGTTGAGAATTGACATTCATCTTCAAATCGGATGAATAATATGATGAATAATGATATAGAAATATGACTTACCAATATATTAAGCATTGAAATGAAAATTGGAATGTATATAGGAGAAGGCTCGGGAGAAGGATACTGGCATGAACTCTGATCTTGATGAGATTGAAAACTTCCAAAAATAATCATCGATATGGGAAATATTATCTCTCACACACAGGTCATATGACTTTATTGCAATGAAACCATTTCGGATTTCTGAATCCTCATCAGTAACCATGATGTCCACTTATTCTTACAGCCATTCTTCATGATATACACAATTTTCATCTCTCTATAATACAACTAAAACCGAGTAGAACTATAACGAAATGACATCTGAGAAATTTGTTGACATTCTATTCCTGTCATTTGGACGTTTTTGCTTTTGGGTGTATGATAAATTGACATTCATCATACAGGGCATGGAAAGAAATTCTGAATTGAGACCCTATCACGAATCTGCGATTAGAGGTCTATAATTGCTCATTATCTTATTATTATGTTCCGGTACGAAGCAAATGTGTTGACGGAATATTTCAAAATGAAAAACTTTTCAACAACATCCAAAAACACGTGAATTGAAAATGTTTGAAGCCCCATCTCATGATATGCATATATAGGAGGCGTTACTTCATCGGTGTTGTCGTAATGACGTAATGGACGATTTTTTTGGATACACACTAAGGGTCATGTGACACCTCATCAAAAGGGTCTACTGGTCGTATATCCAATTGTAGCAATATGTATCCAGAAAATTCAAATTATAACAAATGCTCATTTGTTGAACTGATTTATCACTATTATTATGATGAAGTGAGAATGATCTGAGTTGTGAACCTATAAGAGCCCATTCAAACATGCGAAGTTGGTATGCTACACATGAAGAAAAAAATAGCTATCAGACAATGCCACCACTGAGAATGAAACATTGTAACGACTATTAATATACTCGAAATCATCTCCACGACATTTCAATGTGATCAAGCAGATCAAATTATTTTGTACAAAGTGTCAGACATATATGTCAATCCTCAGCCTTATCAGTTATTACTACCTACATATCTAGCGAATGAAAAAAGGTGGAGTAAAATCTTATCTTGATGAAATGAAACAATAAAGATGGGTTTCAGTTTAATCCCAGAAACCAAACGAATCGAATTATTGGAATAATTCGTATCAAAGTTTATGATGTGCTCCTTCATTGAATGACTACTTCACCTGTTATATCAACTCCTTATGTTCTGATGCAGAATGAATATTAGGAAGGAAAAGTAATAAAATTTGCCATCGAATGACTAACACCTATTTATAAGAGGTGTCACGATGACATCTTTTTATTCCTTAATATTCCATTTTTCGAAAAGCAGTCGTTTTTGAAATTTTAAGCCTTTTCACAAACAATAGTCATATCGGAAAGGAATATTCTCTGATACATTTATGAACACAAAAAAATGGATATGCCCGTATATAAAGAAATACATTGATAATTCGCATTCTCCATTTGATGAAAATATTAATTCTTTCTCGGTTTATTCAACAGGAAACAACTACTTTCCTGGCTATATGCCACGACGAACATTGAATTATATTTATTGAACACACACGATAAGGATTGAAAACAAAATCTTCTGATGTATAGAGAATTTGCATTCTCCTTCATATAAGGATATGCACATAATTCTGAATATTTAACAGAAAGCAACTATATACTTTCCTGGCTACTTGCCATGTCGAACATGGAATTATATCTGTTGAATATCCAGAAAGAGAGCATGAAAAGTCAAAATCCTCTGAAAGATATTATATGTGCATATCTTTATATGAAGGAGAATGCAAGTTCTCTACTTTTGTTTTCAAATTCTTATCGTGTGTGTTCAATATATGTAATTTAATGTTCGTCGTGGTATATAGCCAGGAGAGTAGTTGTTTTCTGATGAATAAACCGAGAAAGAATTAATATTTTCATCAAATGAGGAATGCGAATTTTCAATGTATTTCTTCATATATATATAAACTTGAACGATGGAAACTTGTTATTTTTATAGACCTCAATCGCAGATTCGTGATTAGGTTTTCTTAATTCAGAATTTCTTTCCACGTCCTGTATGATGAATATCAATTTATCATACATCCAAAATAAAAATAGTCATATGTCGATAAACAGCTTGCTCAACAACTATTATATATAAAAGTTGTTAAGCAATCCAACGGTTGGTTTAGTTCATATACCAGTATATCACCTGACGAAGCTACTGTGTTAGTGAAACATGATGTTGTGTGTTCAAGAATTTTGTGGAAATCTCATCGTTTGTGAAGTTTGTACATTCACATTATAATCATTCCTCCATCACATTTCATTCGATAGTTTGCTATTGGTATGATATAGATTCACAAGACTAAAAAATTATTATAATAAAAATATCGATAGCATACGCGTTACCTTGTATTTTGTGTCGGTTTCCATTCTGTGCATTCAGTTGATCGATCTTTGCCGAGACTTGAAGCAGGGTAGGCACATGCATGGAGACCCTCAAGAATATCTTATTATGTTATTGTGCACCTTTAAGGTTATTTGTGCATATGGAAAACGTTACAATCGAAGATATTTATTAAATCGGTTTAAATTTCCGTCCATTCTGTAGAACCAGAAACCACCCTCACTTGAAATTGTACACCTTTAAAAAAATAGGGCTTCGGTAGCAACTCGATTTATGGTTTTAATGTTGATGGGATAATATTATTCATAGAATTATCGACCTCAAATCTTACGTATCCTCTCACAGCATCTGCACGTGATATAAAAAATTGTTGCAATTATTCAAAAACACACTATATACAATTTGAAATTATAATGGTTTTCAAGCTTTGAAAAATGTTGCACCTATTAAGTCAATTTTGTCTCTGTTTCAACTCTCATTGCGCAGTCTCAGTTCTGTGAGTGAGGTTACATTTCAATGTAGATTTTGCGATTTGCGGATTAGAATATCTATAAACGTACGGAAAAATCACTCATTCATATTTATATATTATAATACCAATTCTGATATATTATGTAAGGAAAAAGAAATATGAACCAATAAATCATGGAGTCAATATCGCTTCATATCAATAATAATCAGGTCATATAAGAATCGGAATTGATATTTTCATGTGTTTGTAGACTTTGAGGAGTTAGACGAACCGAATCGACGAATCGCCCCACGGCATTTCCTCTTATTGATAATAATAACGCGAAACTCGTTCATGAAATGATTGAAATATGGAAGTATTGAACATTCACGAAATTATCCTGATTTTGATCTTGAAGAAGTGAATCCAGGTTCTTTGGCTTCTGAAGTTCATATCATACTAAAGAAAAATTAATATGAGTCAGGAAGATATGGAAGTTCTAACATTCTCCACTAGGTACAGTGAAGATGTCTTCTATTGAAAATCAGAACGAATGTAATTGGGCATTTCCAGTTATTCTGTAGATTCTTCAAGACCAATCAGACCATCGCACCATTTTCGAAGATTGATAACGCCAAACTTTTTTCATTTTGGATCAATGGAAAAACAAATGCTTTTTTTTGTTGAGATCATAACCCAAAAGCTATATTGTTAATGATCGATATTTATGTAAGGAGCACAGAGAATCCAGAGAAATGAGTTTATGAATTTTGTAGCTACCAATGTTAAATGGTATATTATGTTCGTCGATAGGAGGTCTTAATTTTCAAAACAAAATTTATTCATGTCATCGTGAAATTATTTTCTTACTCAACTATCACTACTGATATTATTTATTCATATCATAATATGAATTTGTTTTGTATCAATCAACATTAGGCATTATTTTGATAAAAAACAAATAAGACTATGATTCGAACGTCATTTCCCTGTTGTTTTGGCGACTTACTCTGACGAAATACTGGCAACGGTGTACATTCGACTCAGTACGAACATGAACTACGCATGCGCCGACGTGAACAGGTCACACAAATTTTCAATATCGCGATTACACCAGAATAGCAAACATTTTTGATAGGAAAATATTACAAAACTTATGAACCATTTGTATACTTATCCATCTTCATCAAATTATTTGAAAATACATGCATGTTTTATCATGTAAATATCAGCCATGGAAATGTGGAAAATTGACAATGTAGGTATTGTCACAAAATGTTTAATCCTTATAGGTACTCAAGAAAAATGTTAAAGTTATTCCTTTCACCTGATGCTTCTTCATGATAGGTATGTCCACTATGTTTATCATATCAATTATGTTTTCAAGTAAAAATGTTCAATATGTCAAAATGTATGTTCAATATAATTAATCTACATGTTTTCCTATTTATTGAGTGCCTATTTGATCACCTTTATATTTGCTTCTGAAAGCGAACTTTGATTTTAAAAGCTGACATCTGTGAGATAATGACGTCGATATGTGGTAATATATTTGGTCAATATGTCGTCACTTCTACATACATGAAAATACTTTCTTCCTTCGATGAAATATGCTTATTTGAACCAAGATTATGGCTCTTTGGAGAGTTCTTTTCTCTAATCAAATAACAGGAATTCTTATTATTCACTACAGCTTATTTCATAACAAGGAATTGATAAGAGTGAATGAATGAAATGAGGTGTTTCTATTGAAACTAAGTACTATTGCTGAATGAAAAAATAATAATTTGCTTGATTGGATGAGATAGCTCTTCATTATCGGGTTCTCTTCTATGTAGGTGTTCGTATCATTTCAACCTTTGTGCTTTGATGATTTTCACTATGTCTTCATCATCCATTTCTTCCTTTATGTCATGATACATTAGTCTTCTCTGTTTTCAGGATCCCTAGTACTTATTCTCCTCATTATCTTTCTCTCGAATATTTTTAGCTTTCCTTTTTCTCTATTAAGTGTCAAACTCATTGTTCCAGCTCCATAGGTGACTATTGGTCTAATTGCGGCCTGGTATATTGTTTTCTTGTTCGAATTTTCATCTCTAATTAGAGTCGAGTACTTCCAATATGTCCTGTTTCCCGCTTAGATTCTTCCTGCGATCTCTATCGCTCTAATATTATCTCGATTCAGAGCGTAGCCATGATTTTTTTTCGAAATAAATGTCTTCAAACTAAATGTTATGTGACCTATAATTTTGCGCCCTAGAGAAGTCGCCATATACTCATATTCTTTTTCACTATATCAAGGTGTATAAAGTATATTCAGCACTAGCAATATAAATTATTCGACTATATACTGTGAAATTGAAATAAGGATTTATTTTAACTATGAAAGCACTCCTTTTCAATTCCTATCAAAATCTGGAACATATAGTCATCATGATCATGACAGCATATATGACAAGTTGTTATTGATAAATGCCTACTAGGTTCGACAGCCATTTCTGCGAATCTCACACATCAGAACATGTGAATTCCGGTTTATCATAGGATAGGTGGTCATGTCTTTATATGAACTAGTATAGTTCTTAGAATGACAAAAGGTATATACCTTGGTATAGAAATACACTCCACGCCTTGAAAAGTAGTACATAATGAAAGGTTATATAGCTTGTGGTGGAAAAAACAATTTATGAAATATAGTAATCCTAATTCATCTTCTATAGGTCGCAGTGATCGTGGTTTCGACCTATACAATCTATTTAGATCTGAGAATTCGAGAAAGTAATCTCAATTTTGATGTGCACCGCACTTGTGTTGATGAATCATATTCACGGTGGTCTGAATACCAGGACTAACTCGAAATAAGGAGCCGAGAACATCACGCAACAATATTTCTTTTCGCCAAATATAAAATCCATAAGTCAACAGTGGACTTACCGACAGTGAAACAAGAAAATGAAAGGACTGCTGCACGAAATACCAACGCCATCGAAAAATGAATCAACAAAACTCCCAACGCAGTAAATCTGGTCCGTTATTAAAAGACCAGTTCAATTAAATGGCCTGGAGGTGCTACTCGCGCACAGCGTATACGGTGGCAAAAAAATTTTGATTTGTTGCCCAAGCACCGACCAGCCGTAATTTAGATTGAATGTTTCAAAGCTTTAAATATTATAGATTAGATGTAATTTATCTAAAAGTTTATAATAATATTCGGGTGCGGTTTGAACTGAATGCCAATTATTTTATCTTAATGCCTACTGGAATCAGGAGCTAATAAGCGATATTACGCTTTTTTAAATACTTCGATTCTAATCTTCAGCATAGTATCGCAGTTAATTTTTTAATAACCTGTTTGATTTATAACGTCCGTTGTGAAAAAACCATCCGGAGGTGAAACACCGAAATTATATTTGCGTCTTCTAATGGACTCTTGGGAAATATTTTTGATGCTTTTTTTCGATAACTTACCTACCACATTTCACGAGAAGAATCTTGCATTTATCGATCGAGATCAGCTGATATCGGTGGCATTTTCTCATCGATTGAAGTCCCGTTCGAGTTCCTATTGAATTATTCATCGCCAACTAATTCGGAAATAAAATATTGAATTCAAGTTCAAGTAAGTTTGTAACGTTATTATGTTAACATTGAGTATTCAATAAGCGATTGTTTGAAATTCAAAATAGGACTGCTTACTACCGATTGCAAATTTTTATTCAATCGACGTATATAGTGATTTGCCAAAAGAGCTGGCTCCTATCAATGTTAGATGAAGGAAATTATCCTTGAAATGCAGTATCATGAATCTGGAAAGAACGATCATACTTTCTCAAGTCCCTCAAAAGTTCCAGAACTTTCTGAACATCTCGAACATACTGGGATTCATTCCAGAGAATTCTCGAACATTTTGGAATAATTCAGAACATTCTCCAAAGTTCGTGAAGATGATATGTAGGTATATATACCATTAGGTATGGAGTATATATTTATCAACTAATTCTCATATTACAGAAAATTCTCTAGAACATTATGGAATATTATCGAGCCAGTCTTGGCCACTTCGGCATCCGATTTCCAGCTGCCTGGTTTTATGTGAAATAAATACTTTGGTAGCAACTTGATTCCATTTTGGTGACAACGAAAACTGTGTTTTGACCATTCTGTGAATTGCAATCTACGCCTTATGAAATGATTTTCAGTTCAGGTCATCAAAAGAGAGTGAAGTTGGTTACTTTGGTGATAATCAGACTTTTTAAAGCATCACCTTTGATTTTTAGTAAATATAGGCCATTGATACCAATTTTATCTTCCTTGCTGATGGATATCTTTATCCCAGACAAAATAGTGAAATATAGGACGTTCCATTGAAAAATATAAATGAGCTTATGTAGTACTTCAAAAACCGTGCTCCGAAAAAAAAAATAGTACACCTCTGAATTCTGCGCTGAATTCTTTGTTAGACATAGATTTTACTGCAACATATTGTTTCAACTAACTACGTGAATGTAAAGGGATCCAGAGAGTATAAATTCTCAATATCGCCCTGTATCTCTTAAACGGAAACAGTTATGCAAAATTTGAAAGGAACCATCTTGTGTTTCACAAAAAAATACGTCCAATACGTGAAATCTGCGAGGTTTTCAACAACCGAGAATCCCATCAGCAGTCTCATCCAAAATGGAAATGCAAGTATACTTATACCATATAGCCATAGCCAATATCTCATTTATGCGGAATTATGAAGAAAAATTCATAAAACACTTTGGTCAAAAACAAATGACTTTGATTATGTCCAAGTCAAACTACCCCTGGATAGCCACCTCCAATTTGAATTATTCAAGTTACACCCTAAACATGTTGTATTGAATTGTGATGTGAAATCAATTCTAAATCCAACCATGTATCACACTTATTTGAATGATACAATTGACAGAATACTCATTTGAAGTAAACATAAAACGTATTGTCCTAGTTGGAAGTTATATCAGCAACCATTTCGGATTCGATCACATCACAATCCAAAATATGGTAAACTTCCGGTTTTTCCGGAAATGCCACACACTTTATTTCTTCAGAAGGAACACCCTGTATATTTTCGAATCTTGAATATGTGTCAAAACAAGTGCAACCTCTATGTCAAATATATTTCTTTCGAATAAATTTGAATTATTCGAACAGCAAGGAAATTCATGAATTATTAGTTTTTGATTTTTTAATGTATATACATTTTGTTATTGCACCAAAATACAAAGATGATATGTCATTTCTTTCCTCAATGTATGTTCTGAAAATACATGTAGGTGGCTCATAGGGGTTCCATTAAAAAAAAAAGAATGTTTCATCAAAATATCAAAATTCGATGTGACTGAATTGATTCATCGATACAAAATAATTTTTCCGAAAAAATTATGTTCCTCTTTGTGTGGATAGCAAATTTTAATTTCAAACTTAAAGAAAATGACATTTGACATGAAAGTTCCCCTTGTTTTCACCTGTTGAACTCGAATCTATGAAAATATACTGGGTGTTTCATTTGAAGAAAGTGGGCTCGCATTTCCGAAAAAAAAACGTCCGCTATATTGGATTGTAATGTGATTAAATTCTAAATGGTTGCTTCTATAACTGTAACAAATTTCAGAGAAATCCGTTCACGAATGCAGAAGTTACAGGGGTGGCCAAGACCCTGTGTCACTCGAAATATCTAAAAACTAACTGAGGGTGGCTCTCAAAGGTGGTTTGACAGAAGTTGACTGCGACAAAAAGTATTTCGGGGTTCGACAAAAGTGTAATTCTTTTAATTTTTTTTCAAGCAGCGTAGCTGAGTTGTTGGCTGTATGGAAATATCTATGACAACCGGTATAGTTCAATTCATCACGGCTCACCTATAGTCTAGTTATTGAACCGCCCAACTTTATTTCTATCTGTGGAAAAATATAAACCAAAAGATAATAGGCAGTTCAGTACAAAATTCATTTGAAGATCCCAGTAGACCATGTTGAAAAGGAATATTCTCAGATAAATTATGAACATACAAAAAAATGGATATATATTTATATAAAGCAATACATTGAGAATTCGCATTCTCTATATGATGAGAATATTTACTCTTTTTCAGTTAATTCAATAGAAAACAACTACTTTCCTGGCTATATGCCACGACGAACATTGAATTATATCTATTGAACACACACGATAAGAGTTTGAAAATAAAATATAAAAATTTCTGAAATTGAGAATTTGCATTCTCCTTCAGACAAAAATATGTATATACACACATCATTCTGGATATTCAACAGAAAACAACTACTTTCCTGGCTATTTGCCACGTCGAACATTGAATTATATCTGATGAACATTCAAAAGGGAAACATGAGAAATAAAGAATAAAATCCTCCGAAATTGAGAATTGACATTCTTCTTCAAATCGGATGAATAATATGATGAATAATGATCTAGAAATATGACTTACCAATATATTCAGCATTGAAATGAAAATTGGAATGTATAGGAGAAGTGTACTGGCATGAACTCTGATCAGATCAGATCAGATCAGAGATTTTTCATGTTTCCCTTTTGAATGTTCATCAGATATAATTCAATGTTCGACGTGGCAAATAGCCAGGAAAGTAGTTGTTTTCTGTTGAATATCCAGAATGATGTGTGTATATACATATTTTTGTCTGAAGGAGAATGCGAAGCCTTTCAGTGCCTGAAAGATTTGCTTATAAAATCGTAATTGCTAGAATGAGTAGGTATATATTGTTTGAATATCGACGAATTATCGTACACATTGTCATTCGTTACGATATAAGGCAATAACTGTCTTATTTTCCCGATTTATCATTCATAAGACGAAAGCACAGCTGAAGAATAAGAAGCGATAAATCCTCCCCCGTAA